CACTCAGCACACATCTGTTCAGTGGATGAATCCATCAGTAGTGATGGAAGTGGCACACAGTCAGTGTCCTGAGTTTTTTGTACGGATCTTATGGATTCCAAGACTAGAATTTAACACAGAGTGAGTAATTAATATTCAGTAAATAACATTTACTGTGGGTAGGGCACCATGCTAAGGGCTTTATATATACCATTTTCTTCATCACAAAAACCCTGTCAGGTACAAACAACTTTTAATGTCCATTTTACAAATGAGGAAACTGAGGGTCAGAATATAAGTAACTTGCCCAGTCAACTAGGAACTATCAGAACAAGGATTCGAATGGAGTTGTTCAATTCCAAAGCTAGTGAACCTAAGCATTTTGCTGTACAACTTCCCAGGGGTTATCTATTTCTATTCCTTTTAGTGAAACTTGAACCAGTAGGACCTTAACAAAGAAGCCATCTATCAGCCAGGAGACCAAATATTCCACATTAAAAGCAGATAAAAATAGCTTCATCAGGAGCACAGTGAAGGTCATGCTTTTTTTCTTTTTTGTCATTTTTTCAGAGAGCCATTAATGGTCTTAGAGTGGTAGTATATACCAGGACTTTCCTGAATGCTACATCCAGCTAAGCTAAAGAGGAGTTGCCAATGTATTCTTATAATGAAATTTCTATAAATTTTAATATAAAATGTAATTTTATAGTTTACTAAGGGATCTAATGATTCTGGACAACACATTTAGAAATGGAATAAGGGAGGGGGGAAGTGAGACAAATTAAATATATTGTTCCCTCCCACTGTGCCTCCAACTTTACTTCTTAGGGGAAACAGTAAAGATAGGTTAAAATTATGTAATTACTTCTCATTCAAACCATGCAGATTATTTCCATAGTCTCATAGTTTATGACATTTACTGTCTATATAACTTGTATTTACAGAGCTAATGTTCAAGAAGCAGTTTTGGGTTTTTTTTTCTTAACAATAGTAGCCACAGTAACAATACCTAAAATTGTTTGCTGTGTGCCAGGCTTTGTGCTGAAGCTTTTACATGCATTATTTCACTTTATCATCCACACAACCCTAGGAGACAGTTATAATCTCCACTTTAAAAACAAGGACCCAAAAGTTGGACAGGTAGAGTAATAGCTCAAGGTCAAGGAACCAAGATTTGGAGAGGTTGAGGATTGTCTCAGGGTAACCGACCTAATAAGTGCCTGATTCCAGTGTCCATGGACTCAGTTACTCTACTGGCCCACCCTCTTGAGAGGTTAGCCTGACTGCTGGCTAAACTGCCATCAGGTAAAGCCTTGCAGTCCATACATAGGAGTTTCCCAGGGCAAATTGATCTGGGGAAGAGAATGACCCATTTTCCAACTTGATAATACTCTCGTAAAGTGGTTTTTAAAATGAGATAGTCCTCCTAAAAGCAAATTATTAAGGAACACCCATCATTGAAATTATATTTAATACCTATTTACTACTTATTTTCTTCTAAGAGGATCCTGGTTTCCTTCTCCAGGCCTGAATTTTATGTTTTTTCCCAAGCCATTCTGAATTTTTGTTTGCTTCAGGTTAGAAAAGCTCCCTGGGTATAGCTGTGGTTCAATGTTTTCAGCTGCTTTGCTCTGTGCTGATGGTTTTGACTCCTTCAGTAAAGGTACGCTGGCCTACCATGGCTCTCTTATATAGGAGCTCAAATAGATATTGCAGAGGAGAAGAATCACAGCAGTTATGAATTGTGTTTCTGGGTCTGTGTAAATTTTAATATAATGGTTACATTTTCTTATTAATCATTTTGCTACAGGTTCATCTCCTAAACACACTCCAGAAACACACTGCTGCATAGTTTCAAATGGCCTTCTTAATTAGCTTCCAAGCTCTATTAGAGTTAATAGCTATATCAAAGCATAGCACTTAAAAAAAATTTTTTTTAAGTTTATTTATTTTGAGAGAGAGAGAGAGAGAGAGTGAGAGAGAAAGCACACACAAGCAGGGGAGGGGCAGAGGGAAGGAGAGACAGAATCCCAAGCAGGCTCCAGGCCATCAGTACAGAGCCCAATGCAGGTCTCAAACTCATGAACCGTGAGTTCATGACCTTAGCTGAGATCAAGAGTTGGCCACTTAGCCAACTGTGCCATCCAGGTGCCCCCCAGAGCATAGCATTTTAAATAACATTTAAATAAATCCTAAAGGCGTTTTATCACACTTAGTAGTCTGTTCCCTTTCATGCCACTGTCACCAAAATCATCAATAATCATTATACTTGTTCTTACAGAAGTATTTTCTAAACCATCCATTTATTTGTTAAAGGGGAGGATATTGGTCCTCACTGTTTTAATGAGAAAAAACAATCACTTGAGTTAGGAGAAATTACAGAATGTTGTCACATAGGTTCAGGTAAGTAAAGTTACAATGTTTTAGTGTCTGGGCTTGAGCCTTTTACTTCTAGCCAGGAATTCCAGGAATTTCTCTTTTGCTGTAAACAGTTAGAAAACTGGACCAATTATGTGAAACACTAGTTTTCAGACAATGTACAAGAAGAAGTATAGGACTGTGATCCTTAAAGGGATAGAAACAAATGAAGTGAGATGTCTGGTTGCCCCAGGTCACTGTCTGGAGTCTGTTTCCAGAGAGAGGGGGAACAGAACAGAGCCCAGGGATCTTGCCGAGTTCACAGGACAAAGATCGGAGTATGGGGAGATCAAGATGGTAGAATTTTCAGGACGAAGTACTGGGGGTGAGGGAGCTTCATGACGAGAGCATTCTAGACATCTGCAGAATTGTTCCTTCAGTCTTGGGCTGCAAATTTATTAGTCTATGCATACTTAAGAGTAACTACTTAACACTGGAGAGAGAAACACTAGAAAATAGATCAAAAAATTCCTGGAACTCACAATACATGGGAATAGTTCATATTCATATCAGCCAGCATAGAGAGATCTCAAAACATGTATATGAATGAGAGAGACAGACAGACAAAGGAGAGAGTCAGTAGTGCAAAGGGATCTTATGGTCAGGATTGGAATAAATGGCCAGAGAAGTCAACATGGACAATGTAACCAGTGACCAGTGGGAATATGACCATTTCAGCTATGACAGTGCCAGTGATCAAGAATCTAGGACCATGGTGACATGATTGTATATCCTGGAATATTCCAGCACAAGACTCTCTATAAATGCTCAGTGTGAATGTTGCCTAGAAAGAAAGGTGGCAGGGTGCCCTAGTGGCTCAGTCAGTTAAGCGTCCGACTCTTGATCTCGGCTCAGGTCATGATTTCATAGTTTGTAAGCTTGATCCCCACATCCGACTCTGTGCTGGCATTGCAGAGCCTTCTTGGGATTCTCTCTCTCTCTCTCTCTCTCGCTCGCTCACTCCCCTTCTCTCTCTGCCCCTCCCATGCTCTTTCTCTCTCTCTCTCTCCCAAATAAATAGACTTTAAAAAAATAAAAAAGAAAAAGGTAGAGAAGAAAAGGAAAGACCTGAATTTAACTTAGTTTAAATTTTAAATGATTAAGAAGTTACTGGATTTGACTACATGTATCTGAATTGTTTTCTGTCTCTAGAAAATGTGTTCAATTATAGGAAAATAAAATCATTTATATATAACAATTTGTAGTTTTTAAAATTGTCTATTGGCATATTATTTAATGTCATGGGACCTGATTGATCATCTTTGAAATAGGGAAAATAATATCAACCTCATACAACTGAATAAGATTTCAAAGGATAATTTATGGTGGCGGGGGGGGGACATTTATACATTTAGAAGAAAATTTCCAGTGTGAATGTTAGGTAAGCTTAGGTTTTCTTGAGTTATTTTGTGGGTTTTTAAAATTTTTTTTAATGTTTATTTTTGAGAGAGAGAGAGAGAGGCAGACTACCAGGGGGAGGGGCAGAGAGAGAGAGGGAGACACAGAATTGGAAGTAGACTCCAGGCTCTGAGCTGTCAGCACAGAGCCCAACTTGGGGTTCTAACTCACAAACTGTGAGATCAGGACCTGAGCTGAAGACGAACGCTTAACCGACTGAGCCACCCAGGCACCCCAGGTTATTTTGTTTTTTATGTGAGCTCTACACCTGGCACAGGGCCTGGATTCATGACCCCCAGATTAAGAAAGAGTCTCATGCTCCATGAGCCAGCCAGGTGCCCCCAGGCTTAGGTTTTTAAACCAATGTGATTTCTGTTATTTCAGGAGGCTTGCTCTGGCTACCATGAATATGATAACTTGAAGAAAGGAAGGCCATTAGGAGGAGACCAGTTAGGAGGCCTTGTTCAGACAACAGGGAATGAGGCCATATTTAGGAAATTGCCGTGTTTTGGGTTCAAGAGCCATCCAATGGTACAAATGTGAAGAAGGGTAAGGAATTAGGGAGGAGTCAGAGATGACTCCAAGGTTACAGGCTTGATGACTAGGAGGACAAGGATGATATTAACTGCGTTCAAAAGTAAGGATGTCAGCAGGTTTGAGAAAAAGATGAGTTCAGTTTAAAGCACGCTGAACATTGAGTACAAAGATGCCCTCCAGAAAAAGAAGTCAACAGTATTGTAATGGTTAAGAGTGAGGGTGTGGTGTGGCTCTGGAGGCAGACTCTTGGAAAAGTTACTTAAGCTTTCAGTGCCTCAGTTTTCTTTTGTGGAGAACAGTGGTGAAGATAGTGCATACTTCATGGATTTGTTAGAAAGCTTGAATATAAAGTCATCCAGGAGGAATACTTAGAAAGGCACCATCTTTGAATGTAGCTACTTTGGCCACTGTTGGTGGGAGGATGGTACAAAGGGCATGAAGAAAGGGCACTTCCCACTGCTGTGGATGACAAGAGATACAGCTCTGAACATTTAACTAGCTGGTGACTTTGAACAAGGGATTCAGCCAGACCTCAGTTCATGTGTGAAAATGAGGGATTAGGTAATTCTCTATAAGGCCTCTTAGAGCTCTTACCATTATGTGATTGTGTTGAGGCTGAAAGTAAAATTTGTCACAGATAAACCATAATGGAAATAATTTATTCACAGATAATGGAGCAGTCAATGGTGTTCATCACATTTTTGAGTACCTGTGTGTCCGTAAGTCATATTTTTGCATTTAAAGCACATTAGAAATTTAAACATGGTAAAGGTAAAAAGCTTTTTGAAATTTGCCTCTGGAGATTTTTTTTTTTTTTAATTTAGAATTTCAAGTGTGCATTGTTCTAGTGGCTTTTCTATTTACCTGTCACTGTAAATTTTCTGCAGAGTTTCTGGTAAATGTATGGAGTCTTCTCCTGTTATGCTTGGCTTAGTGATGTCACAGAATAGCTGTCTGGACGCTTACTTCATCTGCAAGAATAGGGTTTTTCATTTGCCAGGATTTTCACTTGTTAAAAAGAGTCTCAGTCTCCATAGACAGGGTATTAATTTGCTGTTTTTAGATAAGCCTTCTAGAGCAGAATGCAATCCTCTTCCCATTAGGTTACTAGAAATTTTTATTAATATAAACATGCTAAGCACATAAACAAAGTTAAGATTTGCATGTGGCATACACAGGGGAAAGTTTATGAAGGAGGAGCTATAAGGAAAAAATACCAAAGAACTCCCTCTTAATAGCTTATTCCTCCCCTATCATTTTACCTTTTAATAGGGGAGGTTTTCTTCACCCTTATTTTCTTTAACCCTTTCTGGTTTTCAAAATCTGATACCTACCCATATGTATTGAACAAAATCATTTTTCACTTATGTCCTTTTTAAATTACAATATGCAAAATATGGCTGAAATAATAGGATGAAGTCCAGTTAAGTCACCTGTAAAAATCAGCCTAAATTACTTTATTATCTCATATTCATGCTGAAAACTTTCTTCATATGACACATGTTTAGTATTCACTTTAGATACATTTTCAAAATGTTCGGCTATCAGAATAAGAAATCAAATACAAAAACTGTATCACAGTTTATACTACATATTTTCCAGTTTTTCATGTGAGTAGGCTTCAAATATTAATAAGAGGAAGAGAGGTTGTTAACTTATTTGGGAAGCCAGATATTCAATTCTCAGATTACTCAAAGGTCTTATTGTACATGGGTGTGTATGTATCATGTATGTATGTTGGCAAGGAGGGAGTTTTGCTTTGGGAAAGAACCGTTTAGGGAAAAGCTGGCAGACACTGTAAATAGCTATGATTTAAAATTTTTTCTTATCAGTTGAAAAATACCTGGGCCACTAACTGTGCATTGTTTGGAAACTTGTAAAAATGTGCCCACCTAGATAATGTCACAGAGGGCTATGGTCCCCACTCTTGTCTTCCGATGCCAAGCCACATGTATTCTGTAATCTTGGTTTTGTTAGATGACAGATGCTTCCTCCTTTCATGCCACAAAAAGTGAAATTCCAGCTAATATGAAAACTTTATAAATGAAGTCTGGTAATTGTACTTGAGTCTAAGAAGACAATTTAAATTTATATGTATATATAATTAATTATGTATTAATTATTTTCAAACTGTTTAAGTAGAAACTATTTTACATTAGTAGTCTTAACATTGACTTTTTGTCTTAAAAAATTTTTACTGAGTCAGGAATCTTGTTATAGTGTAAACATGGGCCTTGGGTCCTAAGTCCTGCTTTTGCCTCTATGACTGAGAAAAGTTAATTAAACCTAATGGAACTTAGTCCCTTGATCTGTATGACTGCTAAGACCTCTTCTGATTTTAATAGTCCATGATTCTATAAGTTATATGATGTGCTAGTTTCTTTCCATTTAATTCTCCAGTTCAGAAATTTATCACACATATATCTGCATCTAGCTTTGACATCTATTAGGTGATCTATTAGGTGATCAATAAATATTTATTAAAGTAATGGTATGTGTATTTTGCTGTTTCTGATGGGTTGTGAAATTACTGTAATTTCACAGCTTTTTATATCGGGCTGTTACTCATCTTTATTTTTGCTGAATGATATTATTGCTGCTTTAACATTTACTTACTCTCTACCATAGTTTTGTGCATGATGTAGAGTTGTTTTTATGTGTTTCAGAGAGGAAGCTGGAGGAAAAACTCTTTCACTACACCTAATCTTAGTCAACCTAAAAAGATAGATACAAATACTATCATAATCGTAAAATAATCCAGAAAGTAAAGTTTACTTTTATTCAGCTTGACTTTACTAGTGAGGAAAACAAAAAACAAAACAAAACAAAAACATTCTGTTACTGGCCAGTTGCCCTATGGAAAGAAATTGGAGATACCCATCCTTTCTTCTAAGGCTCTTAGATGGATATACTGAATAGAAAAAAAAAAAAATACTACAGGATATAAATTGTTTCCTGTTTAATATAAGAGTTTTTAAATTAAAACATTTGTTCCCTTAACTTTGATTTTTTTTCTATCATAGATTTTCAATCAGTCTTTAAATGAGGGATAAACTATTTAACTCAGTCATCAGATAGTACACATAGTGTATTAGTTCTTTAAAAATGCCTAGTTCTATGGGATATATATTCAGCTTCATATATTTTCATTATTTAACACTAACACCACAGTGGCTTAATATCCCATTTGTAATGCAGAGAGAGTTAATGAGTTATGCTAGTAAAAAGCAAACTTTAAAGCATTTAATACATTTCATATTATTATTTGTTCTGAGAGACTAACTCAAGATTTATAGGGTTCAATTTTGAACCTCAGAATAAATAAAGAGTAGGGAAGCCAAAACTTCCCTGGTGTTGAGGAAAAACCCTTGCTTTCTAACTTCCTATGAATGGCAGTATTGTTCCCCACAGTATAGGGGAGCCGGGACCTTGCCATTCCATACTAAGGCTTGTTTTTATTTTTAAGGAATGTCGGAAAATTGTGGAAATGAATGTTTTTTCTTTTTCTTCTTTCCTTAATACCTCATGGATCCTGACCTTTTCCTTTAAACTGGTTTAGTATGTGTTTCCTTTAAAACTGGTCACTGACCCAAAAATAAGTTTTTCTTTTTCCATGATCTTCTCTAAAGAATTCTGTTAATAGCACACTAAACTGGATTACAAACTTACTGAATAAGTGCTTTGAATTCTGGGCAACCTTGGAATAAAGGGCACAGAAAGAGTAATACTGCATAAAACAAAATTGAGCAAGTTAGTATAAAGGAAGGGAATGCAACTGTATGGTTGATGTGATCAACATCTTCTAGTAGGTTTATTAGCAATTTAATGGAATATGGTTATTCAAGCATAATAATAGCCTCAGTTGAAATGTCTGCTCTGCTCTTTTTCCCATACACTTTGGAATGAGTCGAATGTGACAGTTGAGCTTTCAACAAGCTTCATGAATTTTAAATCCTTTTGAGTCATAAAATGGGTTACATGGCATGTAGTCAGTGTGGACAAGGAGTTGGCAGCCTCGCTGTGTGTTATGGGATATCAGGTGTCTTCAACATACTGAGGACCTGGGTTCACTAGGTGCATTCAGAGGTCTGCTCTGCATATCCACAAAGAACAGAGGACCTCTTTCTGTACAACATTTAATAATTAATTATTTTGCAATTGTAAAGTTACTTTCCCAGCAATTGATTCAAGACTTAAACTTCATGTCATCACAGAAGAAAATCTTTACTACTGTCTCAGAACAAATTATTTTGGGGCAGCTAAATATTTCTATGTTTGTTTCCTTCTCCTGTCTGATTCATATATATTTAAAGAAGAAAACCTCTGTGAATTGTGACATGGATTTGTACCCTCAAATTTTAACACATATCCTAATTGGTCCTAAAGTTATTCTCAATTTCTGTTACCACTGTAAAAATCTGATTCTTTGCTTAGGGATAAAAGTATTGAAATAATTTGAAATTCAATACAGGGAGCTTTACTATTTGTATCTGGAGCTACCTTACAACAAAAGTCTGTTTTCCGAAGATAATTTTTCAGGAAGTCCATTTTAAAGCAATCTCAACTTGAAGTGTGAGTTCATTTTTAAACTACCTTATAACAGTGCCCCATATTTTATTTAAATGTGGCATGTGGGTTCTTCTAGTGTAAATTTATAATAGCATGAGGAAAAAAACAATTTCCTTAACAATTTCCGATAGGAAATTTTGGAAGTTTATGTGACAGATTATTAGTAGTGGTATCTATACATGGTGTTGGGATTACAAGAATTTTTAATGGTTTTATTTTTACTGATCTGTAATTTCTAATTTTTTCTGCATAGAATGTGTGGGATGGGATGTACTACCTTTTTCATCTTGAGTCTAGGGAGAGTGGGTTTTACAGAGACCACTCAGAGTTGATAGATATTCCCTGTATTTGGGAAATGCCCTGGGCACTGGTCTAGGAGATCTGAAGAGCAAGAAACTCAGTGACTAACGGCTTAGATACGGAGCCAAGAAATTGCTGCTTTGTTGGGCACAGATACACTGCCAGAGTTTGTGGAAGTGTTTTCATGGACTAGAAATGTAGGAGCTAAAGCTAGGCTGGGGCTGTTTCAAGTCCAGTCCAAAGGTATAGATAGCTTGGTATACCAAGCAAGGTAGCCCCACAGTGAGAGCCTGAATGGAGCAAACCACCAGTGAACTAGGGGTTGGTAACTCAGGCAAAAAAGACTTCTGAAATGCGGCTACAAGTGGTCTGCTCTTCCTTACCCAGAGTCACATTAGTACTTGAATGTTTAGAATAGTAGAAAGCATGCATTGACAAGCCATGTCCTCTATGCATAGATCTGCCTTGGCATCTGCCTTGGGAGTGATTACTACAGTTGTAGATAGGTAGACAGAGTTTTAGGCATTCAGCTTTTTCCACCAGTGACAACAATCATTATCCACTGACCAAGCAGGGCCCTAAATCATTTTTGCGTATTTCCTTTTAGCCTTTGTTGACAATCATACTTATAAAAAAAATGTTGCAATCTAGTTTTTTGCATAGTCTTCTAACTGCTAAATTTATCCATGTTCTTATTCTTAGAAGTATCTCTTCGTTTCTCCCTGGGTATTTATAAGGATATGCTTCATTCAGTTCATTGCACAAATTCTAAATGACATTAGTCACTAAAGACACAGTATGTGAAATTACGCTCTTAAGATCTGAAAGAGTTAATCTACTTTTCAGAGTT